GGCAGCTGGGGTGCGTCGCCCTCCCCGCACGTGGGTGTGTTCACCGTCCCAGAAGCTCCCTGAATCCCGCAGGCTGAGGGTTTTTGTGGAACACTCATCCCATAAGTATGATTGATTATTGACTCAACCTCCAGCCCCCCTCCTCTTCCTGAGTCTGGGAGTGAAGTGGGGCCAGAATTTCCAAGCTTCTAATTGTGGCTTGGTCTGGCCCCCATCCTAAAACTCACCCAGGGAATTCCAAGTGACTTGGGAGCTCCGTGCTAGGAACCAAGGAGGATATATATCTACTCCTTACTATACCATGATATCGGATCATGCAAGGGAATACTATGCAGCTATGAAAAGGAGTGGGGCCCGTTTGTGTACTGAGGTGGAGCCATCTCCAGGAAAATTTATTAAGTGAAAAGAAGCAAGATGCAGAACAGTAGGTGTGATGTGCTGCTTTTCGTTTAAGAAAGGGGAGGGAAATGTATTCAAATAGTTGCTGTATAAAAAAAAAAAGCACAAAAACCCTCAGTGGAAAGATAAGCCCCAAAGAGACAACATGGTCATCTCTGAAGGGAAGAGGGGTCGAGGAGGAGGGGACAGGAATGGAACTAAACTTCCCTGAGCTTTTTAGATTTGACTTTGGAACTATGCAAATATTTAATATACCAGAAAACAAAATTAAATTGCCCTGGCTAGTGTGGCTCGGTGGACTGGTGCCAGCCTGCAAACCACAGGACCGCTGGTCTGACCGCAGTCAGGCACGTGCCTGGGTTACGGGCCAAGTCCCCAGCTGGGGGCTTGCGGAAGGCAGCTGATTGATGTATCTCTTGCACATCAATGTTTCTCTCCCTCCCTCTAAAAATAAAGTGAATGAAATATTTTTTAAAGATTTAATTTATTTATCTTTTAGAGGGGAAAGGAAGGAGAGAGGGGGAGAAATACCAATGTATGGTTGCCTCTCGTGCGTCCCCTGCTGGGAACTGGCCTGCAACCCAGGCATGTGCCCTGACTGGGAATCGAACCACGATCGTCTGGTTCGCAGGCCCACGCTCAATCCACTGAGCTATACCAGCCAGGGCTAAAGTGAATACAATCTTTTTTAAAAAACCAAAATTTTACAAAAGGGAAGGAAGTGGGTAGATACACATTTGAACGCAGGTCTGTCCAACCACTCTTGCCCTAAACCACATCCTTTATTACCCCTTCTAACAGCAATGGAGCGACCTGGCCAGGCCTCTGGAAGGCAGAGGTGGGGCCAGACCCAGCACCTTGCAGGGCTCCAGGTACATCCTGGTGGTGCTGCCAGGGGCCTGAGGTTTCAGTACCTTCGGGAGGTTGTGATCAGCAGTTCTGACCGGGTTTCTCACAGGCTCTCCCCAGCATCCCTGGAGTGGGTTTGCTCCCAAGCACAGTGTTAGGCCAGCAGTTGTGTTGGCTGCTTTGCCTGCCGCCAGCGGGGTTCCCCAAGCACTAGCCCGAGGCCCCCTGCACTAACAGGAACAGCCCGCCTGCCTCCCCCTGGGGAGTGGCTGGGATTCCCGGCACAGAGCTTTCCTGCACACGATCTCATTCCATCCTCAGAGTGACTAGGAAGGGTCTTCCAGGTGAGGTGAGGAAGTTTAGTCTGAAGACCACCACCGACAGCCTGGTACAGCTGGAGGGTGGCAAAGCCCCCCTCTGACAGTGGCTCCCAGCTGGGCGTCCTGTGCCAGGTGTTTTGGGGTATCGGGCGTAATTTCACATAGAGACCGAGGCACTGTTTCTGGGCTCAGACGTGAAACTGAACCTAAGGGCTCCTTCCAAGCAATGAGCTCTTGTACAAATGTTACCCTTTTTTTCTAATCTGGAACAACAGGAGTCCCTCCTGGAGAATGTTGCTGCAGACATAAATGATACGAGTTTAGCACAGAGGCTGTTGGTATTGGCAAAGCTCATTTCAAGAGCTGCAGCACCCTGGATACACTACATCCCATCTACCTACTGCTCGTTCAAGAGTTCAAATGTTCACCTCTTCCTTGCCTGGCTGACAAAGCCACCACCTTCTCCTCCCCTGTAAATACCCCTTAAGGACAGGCCTGGGGGGTGCCTCATTCCTGGCTGCTCCAGGGCCCCTGGCAGGGTGGACTCAGCCCAGGCCAGGCCCCTCTCTGCTAACCAGAGCCCGAGACCGCAGCGACCCCCATGTGAGGCTGTTCTGGGAATTAACTAATCCATCACGTGGAGACCTTTGAAGAGCGCCAACATGGCCGATGCTATTGTCGGGCCAGCTGGAAACGGAGTTCACTGGTTCCCTGGCTTCCAAGACATTGGAGCGGAGCCTTGCAGCTGGACGGCCTCTCCCTTGGGCAGATCTCGGCCTGCGCAGGTTGCCTTGGGCTCACCGGCTGTCTGCGCCCGCCTGCCTGCTGCTGGGCCTTTTTGATCTGTCTCTTTGTTTCTCTAAGGGACTGTGAGGGTGAGAAGATAAAGGGATCAGGATTCCAGGCACCAGAGAGCTTTTGTTTGTGTTTCTAATAGAATTGAATACATTACACTGTCCCTCTTGGCTTCAGCCTGGAGATTCAAAACACAGTTCTGAGATCATACCTTTTGGATTTTGTTTTGTCAATCTCCAAGGTCCCTGGGAACCTACAGGGCAGTCTTTTACTCTCTGAAGTGTGATCTCCTCAATTAAAGAAAAGCAAAACAAAACACAGAAATTCACTCAGTTCATCACTGGATTTTTATTGAGTCCCTACTGTGTGCTCAGCAGTACATACACTAGGAGCTCAGAAGGCTCCTGCGGGAGAGAGAAACCGCCATACGTGTAGAGCTACTGAATGCTACCCTCTGTGAGGCACTTTGGTTGCATCATTTCATTTAATTCTCACAATTAGGAAATAGGTAGTTATCCCATTTCATAGGTGAGGAAAGAGACTCAGACAGTTCCTAAGTTTTCCAAGGTCATGTGTAAGAGCAGAGCCAGAATTCCCATCCTGGGCAGTCTGATTGTACCATCTGGGTCCTTCCCACCAGAATATTGGGCAAGAGAAAAGGACACAAAGCAGCAGATCATCAAGTCTCAGCTAGTTAGGAGAAGGTGGGGTTTGGGGAGGGAGGGCCTGATAGTCAGGAGGACTTCCTGGAGGAGGCAGCCCAGAGGTGCATTGTAAGGACTTGAGGCTCAGGGTAGGGGTGGAGGAAGGTGTACCGTGTGATGCTGTTCCTGGGAAAGAATGAACGGAAGGCAGATAGTGGGAACAGCAGGCCCTGAGGTCAGCTGGGTGGGGCCTGGGGCTGAGCGGCGTAAAACCTGGCAGAGCTGCCTGGACCCGGTGAGGTGGCCAGCCTCTAGGAGCCAGGGAAGGATGGAAGTAACAGCAATGTTTGGAGAGGTGACTGCAGTGCTGGCTGGAAGGAGTGGAAGGGTGGCCTGGAGATGGCAGGGGCCACCCAAGGGGAGTCTAGTCCTCCTGGACAAGGGGGTGGCAGGGGAAGCAGAGATGGAAGCTTCAGGCTTTGGTGGAGGATGCTTTGAGTGACAAAGGACAAGGAGGAGCATATTCATTACAGATGGCTTTGAAACCCTCAAGTCACATCGTGCCTCCCTTCCCTGCTGTTCAAGGTCGTCTGGGTAAGATCAAGTTCAAATCCCTCAGGTTGTCACTTAAGGCACCTCACAATCTGGCCTCAGGCTGCCTTTTTGGGCTCCTTGCCCACACTTCTAAATCAGTGCTCCACTCTCCACAACCGGAGAGACTCCCTCCCAGCCTCCACAGCTACCCACCCTGCTCCACCTCACCCCACCCTGGTCGCCACAAGCCCACCAGCCAGCTAGCCCCTCTGAAGTGTGACAAACGGGGCTGTGATGGTCCTTGTGCAGTGGACCGGCTTTGATAGCTCTTCCAGCAGTCTGGGATAATTAGCATTTTATTGTCATTTAACTTTTGTGATTGGTGTCTCCCTAATGCCACCGTCCTGTCAGGCCAATTTTTCTTTTCACAGTAGTTGTCTCAGCTAGGGACATCATCACCTGTCTTAGTTTCCTCATCCGCAAAACGGAGCCAGTAATGTGGTCTCCCAGGGCCAGGCACACGGGAGCCTTCCGTGACTGCTCCAGTTCCTATCTCCAGCATGGGGGCGGGGGGGGGGGGTGTCCCAAGGATCCGGGGAAGGTGGAGGCCCCAGGACAGGAAAAGGGAGGATCCGAGACCCTTCTAGAGAGCTACCTGAACGTCTCTTCTACCCATTTGGATCTCTGCATTTCTAAGGGGGACGGAGAGCATCACACTAAGATCTTCTAGAAGGGGTGAGCACAGAAGCCACCTTGAAAAAGCCACAGACGGATTTCTTCAGCAGGTGGAGAAATCTTGCGTTACAAATTCAGGACGCCCTTCCTGGACCCGCAATATCCCGCACCCCGCGCCCGCAGGGCTGGAACCCCTCGCGGCACGTGCAGCGCTGCTCCCGACTGTTTACAAAGCGCGGTTCGCTGACCTCCTCTCCTTGAACACCTATCGTGGCTCCGCGAGCTCCCTCTCGTCCCCTCCACTTGGCAGAAGACACCGAGGTCCTGGGGGGACAGGACGTGCCGGAAGGGGTCAGGCTGTTGGCGCTCAGGGTCCATGGGCTGCACCCTGCAGCGGGGTCTGCACTCCCTGCGGGCGGGGGCGGGACGGGCAGAAAGGGAGGCCGGGGCCCCGGGCTGCTCCCGCATCGGCTCTGGAGCCTGGGAGCGCGCGCAGGGAGCGCGCGTGATGCTCTCGGCCGCGGCCCGGGTGGGGGAGCAGTCCTCCCCGCCGCTCGGAGGCACCCCCCAGCGCGCCCCCGCGGGCGCGCGCTCCGAGTTCCGCCGGCGACTTCGGAGGCGCGCGCGCGCCCCTCCTCCGTCCGCTCTCCCGCGCGCCCCCGCCCCCGCGCGCTCCCGGGGCCGCGGCGGCGCGCTCGCCCCGCCCCGCCCCTGGTCCGTGCTCGCCCCGCCCCACCCCGCCCCTCGCCGCCCCGCCCCGAGCCCGGTACCGTCGCCGGACCCGAGAGAGAGCACGGGCGCCATCTTAGTTGCTACCACTGCTTCCAGCGAAGCGCTTCCTCTGCGGACGGGAGGGCGCTCGCGGCCCGAGCGCGCGGCCCAGCGTCGCGGCGGCGGCTCCTCCGTGGACCCTGGTGCTTGCCGCGGCGCGAAGCAGCCGGCTCCGGGCCGCCAGAGCCCCGCTCGGTGCCCCGCGCGCCTCCCTGCCGCTCCCGCCTCGGGCCGGCCGGGGCGCCGGGAGCCCGAGAGATGCTGCGCCGCCCTGGGCTCGCGCTAGCCCCGGCCGCCTGGCTGCTGCTGGCCGGGCTGCTGCGCGGCAACGAGGTCGGGGCCGCGCGAGGTGAGTGTTGGGGCCGGGGCGCGGCGCAAGGCCGAGTGTGCCGGGAGCCGGGTCGGGACGCAGGGGGTCCGGACCAGGTGTCCCGCGCGGGGTCGGAACGCCGGAGACCGGGGGCGCGCACTGCAGGCGCCGCGGGAAGCCGAACTCTGTCCCGGGCGGGGCACTTGGGCCCTGGCGGCCCCCATCGCAGCGCGGGTGGCGGCGGCGCGGGTTTGGAGGAGGCGCAGACGGGCCGAAGGGTCAGTGCATCTTCCTGGGCAGCGCCCGCAGGCTGGGGCCGCACCCCCAGGGGAGATGCTGTGTACGTGTGTCTGTGCTCAGAATGTGCACCGGACGCGGGGTGCACGCACAGTTTTTGGTGTGTGCTTGCTTATATAAGAGCCCACTCCTCCGCATCCCTTCCCAAGATCCCGAGTCTGCACCGCGGACCCCGCGTCTTCGCCGCGTCCCTCCTCCTCCCAGGGTCCTTTCAGCAAAGGAGCAGAAGCTGGAACTTCTTGCTCCCCTCCCACCTTTTCACCCAAAGGTGAAATTGTGATGAGGTTTACCACCGCGGTCTCACACTGGGTTTTAGAAATCTTCGTCCCCTTGGTCCCCGACGCCGTGGTGCACCTTTTCCTGACGGTACTTTAGGTCGTGCAAGGGCCCCCATGGTCGCAACGGAAACGAGAGAGCCCTCTTTGATTCCTTGGGGCCGAGATTATTTCGTGGTTACTTGCCAAGAAATATTTCTTAGTGAATTGGTGATTCTGTTGTTTTAACCTTCATCCACTTTTAAACGTTACCTGGTTTCTGATGTTGACTGATCTTGCCAACAAAAAGCTTACGCATTGCAGATACACGCTTCCGTGTGGGTCTTGGAATCGCAGCCACTTTCCTTGGCCTTGGAGCGAAGTAATCCAGTTGTGGACTACAGAATACTTGAATCTATTCTTCTGATGTTTTTTAATAATTTTTTTTTCGGGGAGGAGGACTGATGCAAGTCCAGATTAAATGGTCATATTTCACTCTAGCAAGCTTTAAAAAAATTCTCCTTTACCTCTGCATGACACACGGGGAGAATTACTGTGTGAGCAGATGAAGGGGTAGAAGAGGCGAATGCGTCTTTCGTGCCACGTTTCTTTCTCCACAGGGAGGATGAGAAGCTTCGGGTACTCCCATCATTTCATTGCTAACGTTCTGTTGACTCTGTCGCCTTCAGACCTTAGTTACTAAGTATCCGACTGCTGGCAATTTGATTTTTAAAAGTTACATTAAACCGGCTTAAGTTTGAAATGTTATTTTTCAGATGTGATATGGAGGTCTGAAAGGCTTGTATATCCAAGCAAAAATGTCAAAGTTTTTCTTCTCTTGGGAAAAACACATTTTTAAAATATGTGCTTGTATTGGGTACTGTGGGAATAGTTCGAGTGTATTTAGTTTAGTCAGTGGTAACTTTCCCTGTTAAAATCCATATTTCCCTTTTTTTGTTCATTCACCTACATTTGCTGTTCATTATTGAATTAGCAAATGGGCTAATTAGTCCATTCATTGGCATTATTGAGACACTCACACAGTGTACATTTCAATATCAGGTATCTTCATTATGACGCACTAACAGAAATCTTACATGAAAGATGACTTGAGTCCTTTGTAATTTGCTAACTTTCTCTGAGCTTTTCTTGGTGCCTTGATAGTGCTTAAGAATTCGTAGTCTTCAAAGTAAAAACACATTTTCCAACACCAATTATCCTGTTGCATTTGTTAATTTTTTTTCAGCTTGCAAATTGGAAAATGCTTCATGACCATTGCATGAAATGATAAAACAATTTCATTTTGAAATGTCACAGTGAGTTTTCTGTGTAAACATGCAGCTTGTGGAGACACATTCCGTGGTTTATTTTAAGAGATGATCACTTCACATAGTTTCTTTCACCGCTGCAAGACAGCGAGACATCAGGAACCTGCCATTCCTGCCTTGGCTGCCTCCGGTGATATGAATGGGGAAAGACCACATGGAAATTGTTACCGAGCACGTCAGATTTTGTTATCTAAATTGCATTTTGACTGTTAATTAGTTGTTTTATGGAAGAATCCTATATTTTCACTTTAATTGTAGCTATAGTTCTCAAAAAAACATAAAATAAACCAAAATATTAGGAGAGATATCTTTGGTGTATTTGAGGCTTGCCTTCTCTCCAATCCATCTATTAAGGAGAAATAGAACATTGAAATAGAGAAAATAGAAAGCTTCTATGAACATTAAAAAAAAAAAGAAAACCCAAGTGCCATTGTGGAACGCATTGCAAAGCCAATAAATAACACCGACCGTTTGAGCAGGGGCTGCTGGGGCGAGGCCTCTTCTCCTGTCCTGTTTGGTGTGTCATCTCCCCACCCCCACCGAGTCCTCCTTCCCGCCCCACTGTACCTCTTTGCCCCAGCACTACTCTAACACCCTTCCTTGTCACTTGGTTTATCCTCCGTCTCCCCAGAATGCATGCCCCAGGGGGGAAGGGCCTTTGGTTTTGGTTTGTTTCGTGGGCGGATGTACCCTGCTTTCACCTGGCTGGTGCCTGCCATGTACTGAAAAAAGCATCGCAGACCGTAAACAACTCAGATTCCGCAACATGGGTATCAAAATTCATTAGTGGATAATTTTTCAAGGACCCTTCTGTCGATTGCAGTGTTGGGGATATTAGATCCCCATAAAAATCTGCAGCAGCAGCTTTTGAAGTCTGTAGCTTTGTGGCCACCACTTTTAGTCTGTTTAAAACAACACTGTAATTCTCAGCCCTTTTAGAAAATGGTGTCTTTGCTACCTTGTTCCTCAGCAGCAACTTTGAGGGAAAAGAGTCACTTGAATATAGACTTCAATATTATGCTTAATCTAACATTTTTATTGGTAAAGTAAGTGTCATTTATTTCACACAGGAGGCCTATAACTGCTGAAGAAATAATAAAATATTAATAGTTCTGAATGTGTTCTGATTAAAGAGCTGACTGACGGACTGGAGTCTTCAGCCAAACAGTCTTCTGCGTACGTGCTGCTTGCAGGAGGAAGAACATCAGATCAAGCAGTTGCATAGGAATTCGTTTTCAAAGGGAAGTTGTAGGAGTGTGTCAGTACTATTTATTTTTGAGCAAAAACAAACTTCAGTTTTAAATATGATGAATATGGCCAAAAAGAGAAATTTTAATGACATGATTATATAGATATGTATATATATATATATATATATATATATATATATATATATATATATATATATATATATTATTAATCTTTAGAGGGAAAGAGAGAGGGAGAGAAATGTCAATGTGTGGTTGCCTCTTGTGTGTCCCTTGCTGGGAACTGGCCTGCAACCCAGGCGTGTGCCCTGACTAGAAATTGAACTGCAGTCTGGTTCACAGGCCCGCGCTCAATCCACTGAGTTACACTAGCCACGGCGTGATAATATTACTTTTGCATTGAAATTAGAAAATTCTGTAATTCCATTAACTACTTTTGGGACTTGGTTAAGTTTATTAAGCCAACTTTTAATGTTTAAAGTGAAGAACCTGAGGGATGTTAAAATTTCAAGAAGCAAGAGAGGACTGAAATATTTTTATTATTGCTTTCTAAGACAGGAAAATGTAACTTTTTGGATAAGGTCTTCATTGATTTTTTTAAAAATTAGGTTATATTTATTCAATTTTAGAGAAAGGAGAATGGAGGGAGAACAAGAGCTAGGGAAACATCTATCGGTTGCCCCTTGCTCACCCCCAGCTGGAGACCTGGCCCGCAATGCAAGCCTGTGCCCTGATTGGGAATCAAATCGGCAGCCTTTTGGCCTGCAGGCTGGTGCTCAGTCCACTGAGCCCCACCAGGTGGGGCACCGGTATCATCATATTTGGAGGTGGGGCTTTGAGGAAGGGGTCAGGTCAGGAGGATCAGAGCAGTGGCCCTTATAAAGGAGACCTCAGTGACCTCCCTCGCCACTTCCGTCCGGTGAGGAAGGTGGCCCAGCAAGTGGGCCCTCACCATATGCCCCATTTGCTGGCACCTTGATCTTGGGTCCAACTTCCAGAATGTGAGAGGTGAATTCCTGTTGTCCGTAGGCCGTTCAGTGTGTGTTACAGCAGCTGGAGCGGACCCCAGCTGTGCCCCATCGGGTGGGCACGCTGCGCCGCTCTCCTGTGTGCTCACCACTGGACGGTCGTTGGCGGGGCCCCCACTCTGCAGCTGCCAGGAGCTCGCACGTGCGGGTTCCGGTGTGGACGCGAACCTTCCCTCCTCTCGGGCAGACGCCTAGGAGGGCGTCGCTGGGTCTTGTGGCAGCTCCATGTCGGGCATTCTGAGGAGCTGCCAGGCTGGTTTGCAAAGTGGCTGCTCCACCCTGCGTTCACGTTCACGCTTGCCCCCCACAGTTAATGACTCCAGGAGCCTCTTCCTAATCAGATGCGCACTTCACAGTTGTCAGAGTTTTCTTACTAGAGGATTAAGTCTCTGATTTCTTTCCTACTCTGGGGACAAGCTGGCATTTCCTCCAGCCAGCTTCTTTCTTTGCCGTAGCCTCCTGTATCCTTGCTCCCCAGGACCTGAGACCTGGGGTTGAAAGGAGCTTTGAGAGGCCAGCCTGCTACACGAAGCAGCCTTCCCTGGCGGACAGACCATCCTCGCTGCCCCTGACAGCTGGCCTTTCAGCCCGGGCACTTGCCAGAACACGAGGCAGTGCTTTTCTCCAGAACGCTGAACCTGCCGTCTGCTTTCTTTGGGACCGCATCTTACAACCTTCAGATCTTTGGTGGCATCCATTCCTGCAGCTCTTTGTTGTCACCACCTGCCACTTTAAGAAAGGCAGCAGCAGTCCAGCATCTGTCCCCCCCAGGCCCTAACTTCGGGCTCAGATCTGCCAAGTGCCACAGGCTGAGTGGGGGTGAGCCTCGTCACACACACTGTGACTGTCTAGGTTCTGCATCCGGGTTTCACTTTATGAAAGGACCGGAAGAATCACTAACATTCTGAAACTACAGCTGGTCTA